CTTCGATATGCGGTTGGTGTAATGATAATGGCTCGGAATTGAAAATTGGAGAACCGTGTTCAAATTCCACTCGCGTTCGTTAGAGTGATTTTCCAAGCGTAGCTTGGATGTGGCACAAGGCCGAAAGTATGGAGCACCCATCGAGGGTCGAACACACTACTCAGTTGTAATTGTTCTAGCGAGACTATTACACCGCCACGGGGTGCCCCTCGCGTTCGTTATATTCATTCACACGAAAATAACTGTCGGAAAGGCATGAATCCACATTTTCTGCCTTCATTTAATTACTTAATTAGTAGGGCTTGTATCAGGAAATCCTTATTATTTACCAATATTTTCTGGCTTATATAACATGCAAACGCTTGATAAACTGTAAAAAGCAATCAATAAAAAAAAACCTATATGCCAGTGAATGGTAAACAATTTTATGACAGATGAACAAAGTGATAGTGAGAGAGATATACTTCTACCAATGGATGCGAAGAATAACTTGGACAGTATGTGATAATTCAGAACGTTTTAAGGAGAACAGGAACTACTAAATTGTTTCTAAAATTTAGAAAGAGAGAGCTGAAATTTCTGAGATATTTCTGCTATGTATTTAGGGATTTTTGATGAGATACAAAAAAATAAACGTAATGCAATGTTATAAGTCCTGACCTGGCATCTCGGCTACAGTTATTTTACCACCAACGTTACGTAGCTTCCTAGTGCCTTTTCTATGGATATTTACATGGTAATTGTTTTGATGACGTTTCCTCTTTGGTGTTTAGTCTTTATGAATTTCAACGTACTCCTAGATTGGCGGGAAGGTCTCATCTCTTTACAGTTGAAATGGCGAGATGTGACCGTAATTTCTATGTTAGCAGTTTGTTCTCCGCCACTTTTGGAACTCGTTTCCAATTTCTTGATTTCCAGTTTCATCTTCAAAGATTCAAATGTAACATCAATCATAATCTTCGACGCCCTTAATTCCTGATGAGTTTTCGCTCTCCTTAATAATGTTTTCTTTTTCTCATATTTTCTCACATTCAGTAATCCCTTGCATCTTAGTAGCTCTATTGTTTTGACTGGGATGAAATGATTAAACATATATAAAATATATCATAAAGCAAGAAGTTTGGGGCGAATTTAACACCCATAAGATACACTGAAGGCAAAAGAAAAGGGTGAACAGTGACTAACCTACTTGACGACTTGAATCGACACCAGAAAAAGTACAAAGAGAGGAGTAAAGAGGTATGAATTACTTTTTTCTTCTTTATGTGCCGTGTCCCCTCAGAACGTAGGTGATCATGGGTCTCCACATCTTCCTGTTCCTTTCAGCTATTAATAGTCTTTCTGTTATTTCTCGTCAGTCCTGTTCCAGCACCCATTTACTCAAGCTCACTAAGTAGGTTATGCGTGCTTTTTCCTCTGTATCTCTTGCTCTTTATCTGTCTCATGAGTATCAGATTTTCCAAGCCCTCTTTCCTCATTATGTGTCCCAAGATTCTCAAATGTCTCTTCTTGATGTTAAGTATTAGTTTTCTTTTTGTTTCCATTTTCTCCAAAACTACATTCCTGTTGTTCCAAGACTCCTCTTCATCTTCGAGAAGTTCGTCCAACACTCCCTGCCATACAGAAGGACAGATGTCACATAGCAGTTGAGTACTCTTTTCCTTGAATCTAGCGATTTTATTCTATTGATTATTACGCTGCTTAGCTTTTCATATGCTTCTTTGTCTCTCGAAATACGCCTCCGGATTTCATTGGCGCTCATTCCGTCCTCTGTTAAAACACTTCCCAGATATTTAAATTTCAGAACTTGTTTGACTTTTTATCCCCCGATTTGAAATTCTCACTTTGCTAACAAATATGCATTCTCCTTTTGCTAATAAACATGCATTCTGTTTTCTTGCAGTTGATATTTAGCCTGTGCTTCTCGATTTCCTTCACTACTTTCTGTAGGAGTTTTTGTAGCTTTCTTTTTGTGTCTGTTATCAACACTGTGTTAAGATTGTGGCCGCCAATAATGAATCCTAGTAGCATTTCTAATTCTCTCAGTATAGATTGAATAAGTCCGGTGTAAAGACACATCCTTGACTTACAGACCTTTCTATTGTTTTTATATCTGCTGAACACATTTTCTATCCGTATACAGGCACTTTGCTGTCAGTACAGGTTTTTGATTATTCTAATATCCTTCCCAAATGTATCAAGTTGTTAAGCAGTTCCAACATATCTTTGTGGACTACTTTATCGAACGCCTTGCTTAATCTATAAAACACAGTTTTAGCAACAAAACATGAAGTTGTTCGAAATCCTATTCACCCTCGCTCGGAAAGGACATGGTATGGGAAAGATTCAGTATTTTTTTAAAAATCTCAAATTAACTATGGCAGCGTTTCTCAACCTTTTTACCCTTGCGTAAACCTTAAAATAAATTAAATGTCTCAAGGAATCCCTGCGCAAAAAACAAAATTATATACGATATCTTTCTCATTTTATTTTCATCGTAGTTCACGTGGTAAATATCATAGTATATATTTTTGAATAACTGGTTAAAGGAAAAATTAATACTTCTTTGTCAAATTTTTTGGTAATGCAAAATAAAATTCATACTGTTCGTTTATAATACTAGATAACATTCACACAAAAAAATCTAAACTCAAACATAAAAAATAAACACATTGGTTGATTAGGTATTTCTTTAAAAATAAAGAAGAAAAACAAAGAAATAAGTAACTTTAAATACAAGTCCGTACAGACATCACTAAATATATTCCCAATGAGTGTTATATTTTTTAATAACAAAATAGGTTAGATAGGATGATGTCTATATTACAATATTACAATAGCAAAGAATATATTGTGTGTTTTTAGCAATATTACGTATATGAAATTAAAATAAAAAGTCAAAAGTACATTAGCTTATCTCACCTGTTCACGCGGAACCCTTGGGGACCTTTTGCGCAAACTTAGGGTCACGGGGAACCCCGGTTGAGAAACGCTGTCCTATGGTGTCAAGACACGTAAAAGATAAATTTAATTAAATAACTAACAAAAAGAAAATAGAGTTAGAGAAATTAAAGCGATTGCTTGGTTACTTATAATTATTGTCACATGACGCGAACTGTAGTCATTGACCTGTTTAAACAAATTAGCTGGGAATAATAAACCGTGATTTTTTTATATTGTTGCCAAATAATACATTTTTATATTTTCATGACTAGCGAAGTAATCGTGCTAGGTAACGCGGTTAATTAAAATAAATATTCCGTAATTTGCTGCGTATAAAAATTCCGGCGAAAAGTAAAGGTTGCTTTACTTATTTTGAACAAAATATTACTTACAACTTTTTAAATATATTGAAAGCTACATTGGTTTCCTCCCTGTATTTGATATCCAAACTGAAAAAAAAGTATTTAAATCTGTGTGCGTTTAATATGACAAACAATATATGGATGTCCAAAATGATAAAAAAAAAATCTGCGTTTGAGAAATGCCAACAAAAGCTAATTAACAAACAAGTATCCTAATAAATAAATATGCAATTCAAGAAAAAGTTTAGTTATAACACTTCTGACCATCATATTATTTAGCTAGCTTGAAAATCTAGCTCATAATCTGGATACAGACGAAGAAGATTCTTGAAACAACAGGGCTGTGGATCTACAGAAGGGTGCTAATAATACCATGGGGGGGGAAATGTGAGAAACCAGGAAGTTTTAAGGAAAATAAAAAAATGGACACAATTACGGAGACTCAAAAAAAATAGTTGAAGTTTCTGAGACACATAATAGAGAAAAAAGACTTGGAGAATTTGACACTTTACGATAACTGCATGTTCCCGTACAGGTCTGAATGAAAAGAAAGAGATATTCAATTAAATTAATTGATCTCCTGTATTACACACACATTTATACAAAGCATTTCTCAATTCACTTTAGCTATTTATTAAACTCCTTTTCTCTAAACTTAATAAGAAAAATTACGACATAAAAGGCGCGCGAGCATATTAAACGCACTTCCATTCAGCAGATGGAAAAAGGTTTTAACGTATTTAAGCGTAAAATATACGACAGCGATGATATACCGGAAGATATAAGTAGAGCCCTAGGTAGATCCATTTTCATAACGTCGCCTAAGAATCCAGGTGCAAACGAATACGAAGTTCATCGGACAATCAGCTTAATGAGCGACATAACAAAACTTACCACCCGAATTCTGGAGAAGAGAATGGGTAGTAGAATTAGATCAAAAAGATAACAAGAACATTGCTAGTCCTTCAAAAACTCCAGTACAAAGAATGCGATATCCATGCTCAGAAAGATTAGAAATGATGGCTACCTATGCTTTATAGATTATGCGAAAGCATTTTATAACGTATGCTGCAAAAAACTATTTGAACTATTAGGTAAGCTTGATATATTTGGGAAGGATATTAGAATACGTCAGAACATATAATTGCAGAAAACTGCCTACATACTGATAGAAAATGAATTCAGTAAATATGCAAAAATAAATGGTATTTACATTATTAGCGTTTGAACTATTATCTCTATCTTTTTATTATCACAACGTTCCGGCTGATGTGTTTTCCAGACATCTTCAAGTGTTTAGCGATTCAGATAACCCTCAATTTGGTGACATAGTCATTGTGAGTCCAATCCCTTGGCCGGGTAGTCTTGACTTAGACTCGGTGGAAACAGGGGCGTGTAATAACTGAGCCTAACTAAATATGAACAAGACGATATATCTCTAGACATGGACAGTGTTGAGAACGCACAACATAACAAGACGAAGACAATAGTCCGAATATAAATAATGTATTTACAGTCAATTCTTGTTTATGCAACTCTCTTCCGGATTTTTCCTTCCCAGTCAACCTTGACCTTCAAAAATTTAAATGCAATGTCAATCGGTACCTACTCTCTTCTTAATTCTTGTTCTTTTATTGTTTTCTCTCTTTAATAGTGATTTTTTTCTTATATTTTCTCCCACTCAGTAACACCTTG